GAAACGATAGGTTCTGAACAGACACAATTTTGCAAAATTTACGTCAAAACCCCGCAAATAGCTTGTAAGTGAGGAGAAAAAGGAAAAGAAATTTGGAACAAAAACCCCGAGAGTTTGAAATGCTGTTCATTTCCACGGTCGCTGAAATGCAGATGGAGCAAGGGTTTAAATTCAAGGGGAAGGCAGCAAATGCAATGTTTCTCTTTAAGTTTTGGGGAAGTCCCTGTCCCCTGGCACATGGAGGGCTTGCCACAACCATGCCACCACAGCCAAGTCACGGCCACCTCTCCCCACACCCCGTGGGACATGAGACACTTCAGTCTCCGCATGCAAACACCCATGCAAAACCCCCAGCCGCCGTCGCTGTCCCCCCAGGAGGAAGCGAAGGGCAGAGGGGCCAGCATGGGACCACGGCTGGGTCGCTTTTTCCAGCCTTTCCTCTCCCGCTTTGTCTCGCCCGAGTCGAGCTCCTTTGGGGAAGAGGCTGTTTTCCTCCCCGGCTGGGAAATGTCAGCACCACCTGCAAAATACTCGGCAGCGGCAGGGAACGCTGAGCAGCATCCCGCCGGTGTTCGAAGCATCCCCACATCCACCCTCCTCTCCATTCCTTCCTCATCTTCAAAAGCCTTCGCTGGCTCGGCCAGGAAATAGGATGTTTGTCCAGCACCGAACTCCAGCGTGCCCCCTCCGAGCCCAGAAACCCTGGGGAGCAAAGGACTCTGCAAAGCAATACGCGGAGGGAAAAGAAATGAGTAAATAACAAAACTATTTCCCATTTTCATCCTCCTGGCTAGAGAATTCGACTTGTTTTCAACAGTTTTTCATTGACTTCCCACATGCAACCCGTCGGCAGCCGTGTTTGCAGCGTAAGGGCAGGGCATCACCCTTTGCACATTGGTTTTTCATTGACTTCCTTCTTCCTGGCACCCCTTAGGTCACTTGGTGGCCTTGTGCGTGGGCTTGTGCTCTTGTCCGCATCCTTCGGGAACAGTCAGGTGCCAGGGAAGTCTTTCCGGATCGGAGCCGTGGTGTCCCCAGCGGCGCTGCCACGGGCTCAGTGCTGCGGCCACCACGGGGTGCCAG